TTTTAATATGTTTTAACCAATATGAGGCCGAAAAATGTACATAGAAACATATTTGCAAATGCTCTAACTTCATTTACCGCAGAAGACCGATCCAGATACCATTTTACTAAAAATTAATTTTTAAAATTAAAATTAAAAAATTAAAATTTTGTAAATTAATTTTGAAAGCCGACCTATGACTTGTGATATTCTTGGTGCATGAAAGTAAAGGAACAATTTCCGTTTCACACTTTCGATCTCTAGTGTCGTAACAACAAACTCCGCCAATAAGCGACTTGAACGAACAACAACCTTCCAGTTATGTAACAAAGTTGACCGTGTAAGTAAGTGTATTTGTGAAAAACAAAGTCCGAAGCCCCGCTTCTAAGCAAACAATAGGTATCGTAAATTACCATAAACCAGGTTTTGTTTACTCAGGCTTACTACTTTTAGCAGGTACTAAATTTAGCTTTTTAACGAGTATTAGCCAAAGGCCCGATCTCCGCGACTTACATGTAAGAGATTTCGATGTTCACAAGAACAAAAAATCTGAGCAGCAGAGTGACGTCTTGTTACTTTCCCCTTCCCATACCCCCTAAAAAATAACTTTCCATTGTATGATTTGCATTGCGTGACGACTCTTCGTATACAACACAACGTTGAATGCAACACATGTGTAGTGCCACTTTTCAAAGCATCGATCAGATCTGCTGCACCGCAAACCGAACAACACTCACAGTCAACTGAACCGCTGGATAAGATGCCATAGTGCAGAAAGATGTCAAACGTTTTACAACGAAGGTTGGTGACAGTTCGCAGATTGACAGACAGTTTCATCGGACGTTATAAATACGACGAGCGACAAGACAACCACAGTAAAATGGTCTTTGGATGTTTCTTCTACAGCAAATGAGGTTAGAGCATTTGGAAATGTGTACCCATGTACATTTCCCGGCCTTATATGGGTTGAAACATATTAAAATATGTGTGTGACTCGCGACTGGAATATTGAGCGCGAAAGGTCAAATAACTGCATTTTAACGGAATTTGAAAAGCTTTTGTATCGCTCTCAATCATTTGCCCAAAGAAATTTTTACAGTAATATTGACAACATCTTTTCGCAATTCTATCGCCAAAAGCTTAATCCATTTGAAGGTTTGAACGCAGTGTTTACAAAAATCGTTTTGTAAGGTCTTATGAGCTTGAAAAAGAAGATTTGAGTGTTAAAAAGACGAGGTAGTGATTCGTATTTGAACGTGAAGCCCTCAAACTTGTGCGATAATTTGCTGCTAAAAATGACGATTTTAACGGAATTTTGATATTTGTATTTTTCTCTGAAATAAAACGATATTTTGCCAAAAAAGTATCCAGTGATTTTAGTCATAGTCTAGCCTATCTAATATTAAAATAAGAAAGAAATCGAATTTTTCACCCTTGCCGCGAAATTTAGAATTTGTCTGATTTTTACAGACAAGCGCTCTTAAAAAGAAGGGTTGTTCATCAATTCTAATTAGCAAGTTGTGCTAAATACTTTGCTCCAGTAATTGACTTTCGGAGGTTATGCATCACTCAAGATTGATTTTTGACCATGGTAGTTGAAATTCGTTTTGTATTGAAGGCCTATTTCCAACTTTGATGCAACGCGGTCGTTTGTTTTTGTTTTGAACCACCGCTCCTGTTTAAATAGCGCCTCTGATTGGTCAGTTATTTTTACCTTGTCACGTCTCAAAATACCTTCTGCCTTTTCTCCGATGAATTTGAAGAACTTATCAAAATAATTCTGGTCAAAACAGTTCTGTGCGTTTTAATCCGGTACGGAATTAGATGAACCATTGATTTAGTAGATTCCGAGGCAGTAAACGCTTATGGATTGGTTGTTGCTAAAGAGGAACGCGAAAATCCCTGCGACCATTCGAAGAAGGTGAAAATGTTGATCCACCGCGTTTGCATTCATTCATCAATTTTTTTTAATTGAAGTTTGCCATCCTTGTTAAATAGGACTAAGGGTCAGTTGAGGTTTCCTGCCCGTGGAGAGGACCTTGGGCTCGAAAGAGTGGTCGAGGTTGTTGTCCATGAAAAGCAGCAAATAAGAATTGTAACACAAACTGTCAGAGTCGCTAACGTTCCTGCAATGAAGTGACTAAACTTGAAATAATTAAACGCCCGGCAGCCCGTTTTTTTCCATATTTCTCTTCGAAATTAAAAAAATATTTATACGAAAATGTTCTACCTTTATTTACAATCCTCAAGCGCTTCCAGGCAGCCCAAAATTTCGAACTTGATATTTTTCGCTAACCCTGTATACATAGTAAGAAGCCATCCAAGCGCTTGACACTTCCAGGTAGCCCAAAATTTCGAACTTGATATTTTTCGCTAACCTTGCATACAGAGTATGAAGCCATCCAAGCGCTCGACACTGAAAAACTTTTAGTGACAAGGCTGGACTCGGTCCTCAAATAATTCCATATTTCTCTTTGAAATATACCAATTTTTCGTTGGAAAATATTCTTCCTTCATTTACAATCCTCAAGCGCTTCTAGAAAGTGAAAGGCAAGCTGCAACCAAACCTCTCCAATTAATTCTAGATCAAAGATCAAACGTTACCAATGGTAATCAAAGGGTATGGAGCAATGAAGGATCATTACATCGCATTTTGAAGAGTGTGATATTAACGAGTTAGTCTTGCACCATTTGTTAAGCTCGTCGAGCGCGTTGCTTAGTAAGTAACATGCTTTATTAACGGTAGATCCGAGGCAGTAAACTGTAGTATCGTCAGCATACAGGAAGAGATTGTCTGATGTCACAGCTTACGGCATGTCGTAGGTGTACAAACTCAACAAAACTGGGCCTGGCACTGATCTTTGTGGGAGGCCGCAAGTCACATTAAACTCTTCCGACTAAGTAAAGTTCACAACTGTAACCTGTGTCCGGTGATTCAGATAATTTGCGAGCCAAGAGGAGATTGCCCTCGCTTCTAAATATGTCTTCAATTTATGTAGCAGGTTACTATGAGATACGTATTCAAAGGCTTTACGAAAATCAATAAAGGTGGTAGCGGCCACTGAATTATTATTAACAGCTTTTCAATAACTTACTTTCTTACGATGGGAAATTAATAACTGGGTCGAGTGGCCCTTACAGCAGGCCCGTTGCCTCTCAGTCAGTATTTCGCCTTCCGTAACATGCTTCAGCATCGTGTCAGATGCACACGATTCCAAGATCTCACTTAGAAGGCTTAGGAGAGAGATGGTTCGATAGTTACTCCTGTCAGAAGGATCGTCCTTTTTAAAAAGGGGGCATAAGCTAGTGAACTTTCTTCCTTTGGCTAAAGGCTTATCCTTGGTCAATGCTCATCGAATACAGCTTAGTAAGAGGCGAGACGATTGCTGGCTCGGCTAACCTTAGCAACTTGCGAGTACTCCAGTCCGGCCCCGCAACCTTATTAGAATTTAAGACCCTAATTTTCCTGGATACCGACTCCTCAGAAATTGAGAAGGGCGAAAGTGTTTGAATTGGTGTAACATCGTAACATCAAGTGGGGTTTCTCGAAATTCCTGTTCCCATTGTTACGAATGTATTAATCAGGTTTGCATTCAGTCTTTGTCTCGCACAGCAAGGGTTTTATCGTTCAGCTTTGTTGGTCTAACCTGCGGTATTCTTTTGGTGTTTGCAGTATTGGAGAGTACTTTCCAATGCGCAGAAGTGAATTTCGTTGAATCAATGTTTTCACAAAAGAATATAACTTTTGCTCGTCTTTCGTTGGTTGTTCTTTCATTCCTAACCTTCTTGTAATTCGCCCCTGCAGTTTGGTCTCCAGTGCTCTCAGTGGACTTATTCATCTTTTTCCTTATTTCATTTGTAGTCTACGGGTCGCTCTTACTGCTTATTTAAATCATGCTGAAAGGTACGTGTTCATCGCAGATTCATTAAACATCAAGCTCCATTCTTATTGTGCATCATCTTCATCTTCGAAAACATCAGCTATATAGAATGGTGTACAAGAGAGGTCTGCGTAGAATTCCTCTGAATTTTAAAAAAACCCTTGAAATTTCTAATGGTAATAATTCATGAAGGCGGAAACCTTTACCTTAGTTTTAGAGTGGCATAATTTAGGTTTTGATTGGTAAATATCAGCGGTAACACACCTTTTATGTTGATTAGTTCCGGCTTGGATCAACGTCATGCTCATTTCTAGTACTTAACGCGAACTTGCTGCAGTGCATAAAGCAAATTATCGAAACATTTTACATGATACGGTAATCTTAAGGAAACTTTTCTAATATTCGAGGGTACGAACGGTTCTCGGCTACGGGTTTTTAAATTAGCAAAAAGGTTTAGAGAAAAGCACACTAAAGTTTGTTAGTTTAGAGAAAAAGAATTTCGTTGCCTTTCTAACACCCTTTTAACATGTTTGAGGAATCTATTGCTTAACTAAACCTTCATGAAAGGGGCTCCATTTTCTACAGATAAAATATATACACAGGTAACTCTTTAGTCAAATTACATTTTCAACGCGAAAGGTATGTATCCAGGCGGGGCATTCCCGCACAAATCTTCGTGGGGTGGATTCTACCACCAATCACCAACCCTTCCCCTCCCCTCCCCATGGGAGAGTAATCATTAACAAAATTATTCTTCTAGTAATTTTCTTTATGATGACTCTTCATATTCTTTAATTCTAGATTATGATTTGTTCCTGAGCATCGAGGGTCATGATTGTTTAAAAAGGTTCGTCAATTCTTATTCTTATTGGACATTCCCTGTGTTAACGTATGATTTCTCGTTTACACCTGAGCAAGAAAGGAATGTTCTTCTTGACCTTTACACATCTACAAATGGCCAGCAATGGTATGACAGTGGAGGATGGAACAGCTCAAAATCCCACTGCTCTTGGTATGGTATCACCTGTTACAACAATTCATATGTAAGAACCATTGTGCTGGCTTACAACAACTTGGATGGTGTTCTTCCTTCCAATCTGTGGAGGATACGCAACTTGTTGTCGCTTTGTACGCCTGGTAACCCAAGACTTCGAGGACGCATTGGAGACTTTTTATTTGGAAATATGAGCAATCTGCTGTCGATTGTTTTCAATGCAGCCTCTATATCTGGAGAAATCCCGAAGGACATCGTGCAACTAAAAAAATTGAACAATTTTCTAGGCTGTATAATGGACGGGGAAGGCTTTACTGGCAACTTACCAGAAGACATTGGGAATATGACAGAGTTGAGAGTGCTATGTCTCGGAGGGAACAAATTAACTGGTCGAATACCTAGCAGCATATCCAGATTACAAAGACTTTGGTATCTTGACCTCCGAAACACTCCTGGTCTCATGTGGGGAAATCTGAATGACCTCTTTGCAATCCCCGCCTTAACCCAACTTTTTGCATCAGGTATTCGGCTAACAGGACAATTACCAAATACCCTGCCACCTAACCTGACCTACCTAGTTTTACCGGGGAACAACATTTCGGGTCATTTTTTTCAAAGCATTCCGAAAACACATCACGTTGAAATTCTTAATGTTGCCAACAATCAGCTCACTGGAGACATTCCTGGTGAGTTACTCAGTTATCCGCCCTCCATGATTGATTTGTCACAGAACGAGTTTTCCTCCATAAACAACGGGAGACCATGGTCTACCAAACCAGACAGGTGTGTAAAATCCTTCATTTCGCTTGCAGGAAATAGGAATTTAGCAATTAATATTTCAAGCTTTTTGGAGCTCTTCTCGAGAAAGCCCGACTTTCATTCTAGTCCATCGGTTCTAAATCTCAGTTTTTGTGATATTGAGGGTCCCTTACCCGCAAACGTGCTTTACTTTGAGGATATGTCCACGTGCGATTTACGAGGTAACAAGTTTTACGGAGCAATACCAGCTTTCTTTGAAGACTTTTCATATTTAACATATTTTGACATCTCATCAAATAACCTGTCAGGAAGCCTTCCAGCAGGAATTCAGAATTTAATCTCCCTCCAGTATTTGGATATTTCTGGAAATCCATCCATGCGTGAAGGAAACAGCGTATCGACCAATGCCTTTCGTCCAGACTTTTTAAGGATGGTCAGACCACCTGAAGGCGACAACTTTTCATGTCCCGAAGGACACCTAACGTTCAACAATGGTCGCATTCGTTTGGATCCTGTATTTTACGAGTACAGATATTGCATTTGTGATCCACATTTTTATGGAAGCCTTGGCTTATGCAAATCATGTATGGATGGTGGAACGTGTGACCAAGTTACTGTGACGGTACAAGAAGACGTTGGTTCAAACATCATGAAGATAGCTCCTGGCTATTGGCCATCTCCTGATCCCAAAAATGTTACTCATCTCGTCAAGTGTCCAGTACCTGCTGCTTGCAATCCACTAGCTTCCTGTACCTGCCGCCTCGACACATCACATAACGACGACTCTCGCTCCTCCAATAACAAGCGTTTAGTCTCGACTCTAATCACAAAATGCAATGAATCCTGTGCCTGCCATTCAGGAAACACTGACAGGTTCTGTTCTCGTTGTGAAGAAGGATTTTATAAAATTGGCGGATTGTGCTATCCATGTGTGAAAGGAGATCTTACCTACTACTACGTGCTCATCCCTATCTTTGCCATTTCTTTCCTTGTTTTGCTTTGGTCATTTTTTTATTTCAACTTGCGTCCTATCAAATGGTTTTTTGTTACAGCAGTACATTTCCTCTTAATGTTGATCTTCATGCTTTTGGAATTTTTACCTAGTTGGGTTTTCAAATTAAACTTGGTGGTTTTTGTTGTGTGCATGACTAGTCGAGGAAAAGGTATAAAGTCTCTCATCAGCATTGCAGTGTTTTATATGCAAACCATGGATTTTATGATATCGAGCTCCAATGTCTGGCCTGCAAAGATCGTTGCAGCTCAGAAGTACTTGAGCAGCTACTGGAATTTGTATTTCCCTTCACTTTCGTGTGATTTTCCTTCCCTTTTCAATCCTGTTGGCAAGTTTACTTTTATTCTTCTTCTTCCAATTGGTTGCTTGGCACTCGTGGGTGTCTACTTTATAGTTATGCTAAGCTACAATAAGGTTCGTCCCCAAGAAGGACGAATGGAAAATGTTCACTTTAAATGCCGTCAAAGTGCCTTTTTCTGTTTGAGTTTCACTTACTTTCCAGTTGTAAAGCAAACTCTCTCCATCTTACGCCCATGCCAAAATGACCATGATGTTCTTTACATGCCAAATTCCCCTTGGATAGAATGCACATCTGTTACTTACAGAACACTGTTAGCTCTTGGTTTTGTCTCCGTTGTGTTCTACGTGATTGGGTTTCCTTTGCTTCTCTCCTCCCTCATGTTCTTTTTCTTTCGAAAAAGAAACAGCATGAGCCCTGAAGATCGTGAGAAACTTGACACATGGCTTGGTCCTGCATATTTGCCTTACAAACCAAGGTATCAGTGGTGCCTTGAGATCGTCATGCTTCTTCGTCGCGTTTTGCTTGCCAGTGCATTGTCTATGATTTCGTCATCTTCTACCTTACAAACCTTTGTTGTCTCGGTAATTCTCGTTTGCTTTGCTGTTATTCATCTGTGTTTGCATCCCTATGATGATTCCAGTTATAAGTTTGCTTCTGAAAACTTTTTCGAGCCTCTTGTTTTGTTGGTACTGTCCATGTCTTTCATCCTGTTGAAGTTCTCGGCTGTGGAAAACTTAATGACGTATTCAGCAGCGTATGTTTGGGTTGTAATGATTGTCAATTCCTGGACACTACTCTTTCTTGTAGGCATAATCTTTTACCGTCTGGCTACTTGTGGGAATGAAGACAAAGATGGAAATTTCTCTGGGCACCGTCATGTGAGTGCAAGAAATGGTAGAAGCAGTGATGATGAAGAAAGAAGTAATTTGTTGTCCGTTAACAGTGCACGGAAGAGATACGTTGAAGTCGCTAACATTTCTTAGGCCTTTGTCCCAACAACCCGCAAGATTCATTTGTGAGCGTGGTAGATCTTTACGACTGAACACTAGAACATCTCGCTTAAGTATATACTATGCTGGTGAAGTGCTTTTCGTGCGGGCCGGTTAGCCAGTTCGGAGTGATTAGCAAACACTATTTTGAGTCCAACCTTTCACCATGAAATTTGACACTTATATTAAATAATTTTTACATCAGTGCGTAGTTTTAAGTTTTACAGGTTTACGATCATTTCAAGAATTTCAAGTTCCCTGATTTCTTATGCAGAATTTAGGTTTTGATCTGCGCCAAATGTTTACAGAAGGTACTTAGTGGGCCATCTGTGGGCGACCGACTGGCTGCGGGTCTAGATGCTTTTTGCTTGCTTATGTAATGCCTATAGTTTCGAAATATTACTTTAAAGTTGTTTTAGATTTTAATAATTATGATAATGACAATAATAATAATACTAATACTAATAATACTAATACTAATACTAATACTAATACTAATAATAATAATGACGATAAGTTTTCTTACTTCAATTGTAAGCAGGCCAGGTCTGGTAAGCAGGCCAGGTCTGGATGTGGGAAAACTATACGCGGCACATAGTGAAGAATATTCAACAGACGGCTCCATCGAGTTTCCATAGCTAAATGTAAAGACAACAACGTATATCCTTTGGGGAAATTAAATACTACCAGATTCGTACTTAACTCATGGCGGTCTACGAGGGTCTCAATTGGGTTAACAGTATGCCATAAAACGACCAAAACTTTAGCCGTTAGCCTTAAAATCGAAAATTTTAACCGTTTATCGTAAAAAAAATTAAACGTTGAAAGGAAATTCTAGTGATCTCAGCGGAAAAATGGTAACCGTTGGCCGCAAAACCATCACCCCATTGACACCCTCTGATACTGCAGCAAAGCACTGTAACGCATTACCTTGTGACATTCGTGCCGTGGTTAGCTCAAATTGGTTGTCAAAGCAGACTGGGAAAGCAAATGTAAACTTGCAAGAGCTGAGAGAGTTTTTCACGTTCAATAAAGCATGTATGTGTGTATGTATCTTGGACTCTCAC